TATATATATATATATATATATATATATATATATATATATATATATTTGACAAATAAACCTAGGGGAAAAGTTTAGACACCATTGGAGTAAATTATCCCATTTAGCTACACTTTAACAGAGGTGTAAGTTATTGATTAATTGATTTATCCTAAATCACTGCCTCTATTGGAGCAGCGCTCTCTGCCGCCATCTGGTGGACACATTTCGGTATGGTTTAGAACGCGCTAAGAGCCAGTTGTCATGGCAACCGTACAGCAAGCGCATACAAAAACAAGAGCTTGACCGCTCATCGACAGCTCTCCCGACGTTCGACATATGCGCCGCCATCTTCCGCTCCCTACGCCTCTCCTCCCAGTGTTTTTATTTTTATTTTTTTGTCCAAGAAGCGGGTGAAGAGCAGGAGCCGAGAAGCCGAGATAGATTCAGTCTGCAGCGATGAGCGGAGCCAAAGCCCGCAGCGACGCGCCTGTTGCTGAAAACGTCTCCAGCGGCGGGCACGGCTCTACCGGCCCTCCGCGGGACCGCAAGCCCGGCGGAGGCGTCTTGAAGAGGCTCAAGTCCCGGAGAAGCCAGCTGGAAGGCAGGCCGGTGACCGAGGAAGAGCTGCGGGCGAAGAGTGAACCTATCCGTCCGGAGGATGTGCTGGGGCTGCGAGCTGCTACCAGAGGTTTGGATCCATTTCACTATGGAAGCACTTTTCAATTACAGAAAAAAATAAATGAAATAAAAATAAAACGCGTAATTTCCTCTGTTTTACAAACTAAGGGGCTGTGACAATTTTTTTTTGTAACAGAAACACAAACAAGTCTTCCACGTCACAGGTAATCCCTGTTGTTTCTATTTTTAAAACAGCTCAGAGGATACCTCAGTCTGCCTTCATAGGAGCAATCATGACAGCATAACAACTTTTTCCATGTTTCTAATGGGTTCTGATGAAATCATTTAATAATGTGACGTTCAGAGAACAGAAGGATGAGTATTTGGAGCAGCCAGGCCCTCTCTCAGCTCCATGGTGAAGACTTTCTGTGTCATGGCCTACATTTACAGCTACGGAAGACGATCAGGGCCAATTAAAAAATAAAAAAATTAACAGATTTTTAGATTTTATTTCAGTATAATATGAGAAAACATTTTTTTTTTTTCAGAATTCTGACCTTAATCTCAGAATTCTGACTTTGAGCTCAGAATTCAAACTTTAATCTCAGAATTCTGACTTTGATCTCAGAATTCAGACTTTAATCTCAGAATTCAGACTTTAATCTAAGGATTCTGAGTTTTTTTTCTCAGAATTTTGAAATTAATTTCATAATTCTGACTTTTATCTCAGAATTCTGACTTTAATCTAAGGATTCTGAGTTTTTTTTCTCAGAATTTTGAAATTAATTTCATAATTCTGACTTTTATCTCAGAATTTTGACATTAATTTCATAATTCTGACTTTGATCTCAGAATTCCAACTTTAATCTCAGAATTCTGACTTTAATTTCATAAGTCTGACTTTAATCTAAGAATTCTGACTTTAATCTCAGAATACTGACCTTTTTCCTCGGAATTCTAACTTTAATCTCAGAATTCTTGACTTTAATCTAAGAATTCTGACTTTAATCTCAGAATACTGACCTTTTTTCCCATATAAAACTGAAATAAAATGTCAAAATCAGTTTTAAGACACGTCCTCTTCCATATACAGCTGGTTGGATAGAGATAAAAAAAAAAATAGATATTAAACTATTGTGTTAGAACGACAGCCTAATTGCCAGGTGTTATTTCATATTTACGGTTAGGAAACAAAAATAGACCATTTTAAAAATAACTAAAACTAAAAATGTCCTCATCTGAACTAGTTGATTTATTTTATGTGCAGGAAAAATAGGGCAAAAACTATTTTTAGTGCAAATGCTTTTGAAATTACACACCTAAATTGCTGAGGTCAAAGAAAAGTGTTTTTACTTTCATAAAATCTAAAACAAACTACTAAAATTTTGTGTTTTTTGTTTTTTTGTAAAAAAACTGTGTTTTGCTGTGGCTGCAGCATCTATCCCTATGTTCTGCACCTTTAACTGCATAATAATCTCTCCATTTCAAATCAAAACTCATCTGTTTAAAATAGCCTATTCTCTTCAATATTAATCTCCCTGTCCCAGCCTTTTAATTTTTTTGTATTTTTGAAATGGTTTTATTCTGTGTTTTGATTTTGTTTCTCCCATTGTGTTTTTTTCTTTTGTACGGTGACCTTTAGTGTTCCAAAAAGGCGCCTTTGAAATAAAATGTATTACTATTATTATTATTAATTAGACAGTTCGCATTTTTGTTTTATGGCTTTATACGTGTAGGTTGAAACAGAAATTTGCATATAAAGGTGTTGTACATTAAATTGTGCATCCTTTTAACAAATTTGGAAAGCCATGTGCATTACTATTTGATATGAACCTGGGACATTTTTAAGGATGAATCAAGCTTCTTTAATGGAATCACTGGGAAAGTACAGAAAAATCAGAAGGAAAAGTGAAATGCCAGTTCATTTATCTCAACGATTAACACTAAAATGTTCTTCCAGTGATAATTATGGAGGCGGGTCACAGAGGTGAATGTGTCTTAGAGGAAAATCTGAGGGTCAAACCTTGACTAAAGGGCAAAGGGAATTGAAAAAATCCTGTAGATGGTGAGAGGTTACCATGATCTGCACCGAAAGGGAGAAAGAAAGCCAGATTATAGTTAGCAAAGACACACAGGGAGAAAGAGAAGGGTGTTTGTAGTTGAATAACTGTTTTGTTTTGGAGGAAAGCCTGTGAGCATGAAATAACAAATACAATGATAAAGCACGGAGGCGGCAGCATTATGTCGTGGGGGAGTTTTGCTACTGATGCCCTGGAAAAAAAACTAAACAAACAAAAAATAAAACAACTTTAAAGAATGAAATGTTTAAGGGTGAAAAATGTCCTTTTTTGGCATCACTATCAAAAAACAATCCTAATTTGTTTCTTTAAGAAAAGTCGTAAAGGTTTGTGGGAACAGGAGAATCTACAAAACATTAGTCTGGCAAGTGTTTACTTGTGGATACTACCGGAAGGATTTGAACCAAATTATGCAATTGAAACTATTATTTTAAGAGCGTTAAAAAGGATACAAATAGTCCTGGTTATGTCATCATTTAGCAAACCTAAAACATTGACCTTTTGTTTTGACATTGTGTTATAATTGTTGTTGTTATTGAAGTTGTCATTCTCTATCCTCTGTGTTGCCGTTGCAGGATACCTTTGTAAACCTGAGGACAACATTTACAACATTGACTTTGTTCGTTTTAAAATCAGAGACCTGGAAAGCGACACCGTCCTGTTTGAGATCGCCAAACCTCCGCTTTCAGGTGCTTTATTCCACTGTTCTGTTCTGTTTCATTTTAAAACAGAGGCTCCATTGGCAGCATTAGTTTGTAGCCTTTAGGTCAAAGCAAGCTGCTTGTTCGGAAATGTAACTCCAAACCTGCTTTTTGTGTTGCGAATCCTGCTCTCAGATGATGAGGAGGAGAACAGGGACGGAGACGGCACAGCGGGCCGATTTGTTCGTTACCAGTTTACGCCGGCTTTCCTTCGTCTGAGGACTGTGGGAGCTACGTGAGTGACTCACACATAGCTTGAAAGCAGCAAAGCGCTGTATTCTTCTTTTTTTTTTCTGTGCCCTGATTAATAAAACTTTTTTTTTTTCATACGGCCAAAAAAAAAGAAAAAAAAAAAGAATGAAGCTGTTACATCTCAGCTTCTCTTTCCTTCACATCAGGGTGGAGTTCACGGTTGGGAACCGGCCCCTAAACAACTTCCGGATGATCGAGAGGCACTACTTTCGTGAACATCTGCTCAAGAGCTTTGACTTCGACTTTGGCTTCTGCATCCCAAGCAGCCGTAACACCTGTGAGCACATCTACGAGTTCCCTCAGCTCTCCGACAGCCTGGGTGAGTCCTGGGGAAGAAAAAGCATTCCATGTGTTCTCGCTAGAAACGTGTCCATCTCTTCTTGCTGTGTGAATCAGCTTGTTGTGCTCTGTGGTCAGTATGGGGAACCAGCTGGGCCACAACAGCAGCAGACGTATACAACAAACACAAAATGTACCGCAACATCTAGAGATAAAACACCAGCACACACTGATCGCTTTAATAGAAGAGCTGCTGGAACACATGGATGGATCAAGCATTAGTTGTTTATGGGAGTTTTTAAATGAAAGGTGAGCTTTAGTAATTTTATTTTATTTATAAATATAATTCTGTTATCAAACTGTGTAACATTGCAAAGCAAAAAGACATGTTTAAATAGGGGTATATTAGAACGGATGGATTGACTTTAAGGCTACGTTCACACTGCAGGCCTTGATGCACAATTCAGACTTTTTTGTGAAATCCAATTTTTTTGCATTGCCGTTCATATTTCCAAATATATGC